AAATAGCAATATGATAAACACAAGATGCTTCAAAACCAACTATTTGGAGTTATAGCTATGAATATAAATGAAACCCCTTTTGCAGGTAGTTAGGGAAAGGAACGAAGTACTCTCGCATAAAGTCTATAAGGGGATGTATATAGCTAATTTAGCCTTTCATGCGCTTAACTTTTTTCCCCAAATATTTTTGTGATTTTTAAGGAATAAAAAAGAAAATTACAAGCGTAATTTTAGTTTTGCTAATTTCAGGAAATGTTTTAAAGAATTTCCRGTACCRCTTGYAATGATTTGGCTCCGTTTCAGCGTCAATGTTTACTGTCGTACGTAAGTTGCACATTTGAGTGACCCACTTTTAGAAAACGTTATTAATCAACTCTAGTATCAATTAAAACGTCCATAATATTAACTTTTGAAATGTGGTACATAAATTGGATATGTCTATTAGGACCATTACTCAGTATATTAACAGTGTCAATAATAACTTAAAACTTCATTTTGAATAGCCCTTGGGGGAGTTACAGTATTTATTTATCCATTAGAAATAACGGTCCTCGGAAAACAACTTTTTTCTCAATCGCTGACTTGGCATTTTACACTGTTATCCACTAGCATGCTAAGTGAAAAGCTATTGGACAAACAAACCGCACTTTACAGTAAAATCTCCACAAATCCTTAAAACAGGGGGGGGGGGGGGGGGGGGGGGGGGGAGAGAAAGAGAGAAAGTGGGAGAGAGGGGGAGGTTTTTAGACATTGCTTTCGTAGCTTTCAACTTGTCGCAGTTATATGTCGCAGTCATATGTTTATTGCAGAAATTCCATGCAAGTTTGCATGCCACGAGTAACCAAAAACCACTAAGAAAGCGGTAGAGTTCGCTTTTATATTTATAACTTGTATTTGTCTTCAGCATCATCTTGGGTTAAGTATGGCTTGATGCACTGAGATATGACTAAATCAATAATAACGTATTATGCGACAGTGCTAATGACTGATTTCAAATAAATACCGTTAATTGGGTAGGSCGGTTACGAGATTAATTTACGAGATCACATTTCATTTAATCGAACGAATATTGTGGCAAGGTATCATTTGTTCATGCCATTCTTACTTTGACTCTTCAAGAGAAGACAACGTTAACATAGGAATAGCGATCGATCTTTCAAAATGTATTTGTATGCAACTTTACTAGTTGTGTTGCTTTGTAAAGTGGACCATATCACCAGTACCAACACACACGATGATCGTAACCCAGGATTGATGTTTGATAACCATCCTGGTTACCTTTTGTCTTTACCCGCCAACATGACCAAAGTCAAACAGATGACTACCAAAGTATCCTGCAAGATGGATTGTGTGTTCGCTTGTGTTGAAACACCCTGGTGTCGTTCGGTCAATTTTAAGATCATAGCTGAGATGGACGGTCGTCATATCTGTGAGCTGATAGCTACTGACAACTTTACCAACCCAAAGTATTTGAAACAGGACGTGAAATTCACTCATTTGAACATTCAGGTAAGACTTCAACCGTGAATCTGTTTTGGCGTCTGTGGGAAATGGGCGTAGAGACAAGTGGAAATTGCAAGAAATTTTTTGTTAATTAATTCACAAATAGCCAATCATAATTAATTTATAAATGGAGATACAGAACCCAAAAACTCAGATTTGCTGCTTTGGCTGTTTAAATTTTTTTTGTTCAATATTATCTGAAGCGAATGTTTGTCAAGTTTTATTTAACCTGCTTATTCGTTTGAAAGCTTGCCTTATAGAAAATGTAGGAATACATACAAAACCTGGCTAAATTAATATGAGAAGTGAAATCGCCTTCCACACATTTTTTTTTTTCATTCGTTCAGAATTTTTGATACTCTAGTATTTTTATCAATAACCTGGTTATTGTCTTATGTCACAGAACCCATGTGAAGGCAAACCTTGCCTAAATAAAGGAAAATGCTTGCTCCATAAAAACAGAAGGGATTATCGTTGCCGATGCAAGAAAGGATACACCGGAGAAAAATGCCAACATGGTAAGTTTTTTTGGAAAACAATGCACACGTAACACTTCATATTTTTCAGTCACATAAACATGTGTTAGTTCTTTGGTTCCACAATCTTGGCCGATTTATAATGTTCTATATTTAACTTTTAGATATTGATGAATGCACAACCGCTTCTCCATGTCATGTGAATGCCACGTGTATTAACATTCCAGGATCCTATGCCTGTCGGTGTAACGATGGCTTTAGTGGTGATGGATTTAGCTGTGCTGGTAAGACATTCCATTTTTATGTACTTTCGAATCTTTGCTAGCTGTTTGAACGTTTTTGGTAGTCAACATTGCAGCTATATATTCAGTTTGATCAACTTCTCCGTATTTTCATGATTGGTATTTGTTTCAGATATTGACGAGTGCGCAACCAATGTGCATCAGTGTGACCGAAACGCTTATTGTAACAATACAGTAGGATCATATCGTTGTACATGTAACAGAGGTTATTATGGAAACGGCATCAAGTGTACTACAAGTAGTAAGTACTAATTTATTATCTCCACTGATTTCAAGAAGGAAATTGAAGAGACTCATTTTTTCCTTCCTTCCTATCCATGAATCCAAGTATTTGCAGTTTTCGCTTTTCAAGCTCAATAGCACTGAATAGAGATTGTCCGTTTTACTTTTCAGGAGGACTGGATTTCTCAGCCATTTTAAGCAACTATGGCAATGCAGATTATATTCGTACTTTGTCTGGTTACTTGGACCCAGTTCTACAGAGTTCAAGTAGAAGTCGTTGGATCAGATGCTGGCACGCTGCAACAGATGGATGGAATACTGCAACTATATTCCATCCTCAGTGTGACGGAAAGGGACCCACAGTGACTATAGTACGTGTAGGTAGCTACGTGTTTGGTGGATACACCGATGTATCATGGCACAGTAAGTTTAACAAAATAACATCAGTTTTTTTTGTCTGAAAAATTGTAAGTTATTGTAAAAACGACAATGTCGTGTTCCATTTGCATTAGGCGTCATTTTTCTAACACTACCAGAATACTGCGACTCGTTATTACCTCATAACTAATTGGTGACAATTGATGCCAAAGAATTAAAATAAAAAATGGAGAATAAATGAAGAAAGAAAGAAAAAAGAGGAAAGAGACAAATAAAGTATACAAGGCGCTTGTAGTAGTAGTAGTGGTAGAGGTAGTAAATAAAAAAATGCATACGTTCCATTAATTAAATATACAAAATGGAGAGAAAAGTCTTTCCTTTTCATTATTAATGACAAAAACAATCTAATTTTGAACACATTTTAGTGGTGTCGAGTGTATGACATGTGACATTCAAACCTTCATTGAATTAAATAGACACATACAGCAAATAAGATATTATCCAAAAACTAAGTTAACTCTATTTGAAATAAAAACTAAAACAAAAACTAAAACAAAAGACAAACAAACGAATTTTTTCTTCTTCATCAGGTCGCTGGCAATATTTTTCGTCTTCAAGATCCTTCCTGTACTCCTTGTACAACACCAATGGATATAGTCCAGTCAAGCTGACCCTCAATGGACGAGACGGCAACCAGCATGCGATATATGGGGGTAGTAGTTATGGTCCAACATTTGGTAGGGGACATGACCTGGTTATCTCTAACTATGCTTCAAACACCACGAGTTCTCATACTTATATGGGGTTTTCATACTATGCTCCCCCAGGATGTAGAAACGGTGGATACGAATGCTCTACTTTGGCAGGTACCTACGGATTTACACCGAATGACATAGAAGTCTTTTACGAAACTACCAGCTAAAGTGGGTCAGTAAATGAGGAGTGTATTCTGCAGACCTTATTAAGTAAAAAAACTGCCTCCTTTAACACTTATTAGCACTATATTTGTAGTTTAAATTATAGTGTTCTTATATTTTTTAGATCTTCTAGTAGAGTAGATCTCACATGTACAGAAAACCTAGGTTAATCAGAAATGAACGGAAGTTAAGCAGATACTTGCTATTGATAGAGGCAAACAGATATGTAGTAACTAAATCGAGTTAGAGAAAGAAAGGGTAAGTCCATCCTTTAGTTTGATTTTGCTGCCATGACAATTATGGTAACCTGTTATATTTGTAGTCCTTAACTTTTGAAATAAAGCAAAGAAAACAAATTTATCTCGTTTAAAGTTCTTATTTCTTGCGGTTAAGAAATGAAACAGAATAGAAAATTAAACTCCTAGAAAAGAAAGGAGAAGGAGAAGGAGAAGGAGATAAGGACAGTAAAATCACTATTATTTCTGCTTAACAATGAGAGAATAAGGTTTATACCTAGACGTTTTATTCAATTTGATAATATATTACATAATGTCCTTTGAATTGGAATTTGAGATGAGATTCTACATCCTCAAAAATCATCGTTCTCTTCATGTGAAACTCATTATTTAAATTATCTACTAGAAATAACTGAAGTGATTGGTTCATTAACTTATAAACTTATAAAACACGCAGCATAATCGCTTTAATACCGCCGAAAGTATTTTTTTTTCCAAATTCACATTATTTCTACATGTGTACAGTTACTACTACTTATTCATGCTTTGTAATAGAAGTATCAGGGGCGTAACCAGGGATCTTACAGGGGAGGTGCACAGGCAATGATTTGCAGAACCAAAAAAAAAAAAAAAAAAAAAAAAAAAA